AGGAGTTCTTGGTACGCCCCAGTGAAATGGCCGGATGCGGCAAGGTGCGACTTGGAATTTTGGAGCACGGTTTTTGAAGACTGGCACGGCCAACCATTTTGGAAAAACTGCCCAAAGGCAACGGTCCTGACCTGGTCCGATGCGAGCGACTCTGGCTGGGGCGGATTTTTAGTAGACAGCAGTGCAGTCGAGGTAGCCAGAGGAGAGTGGTCCAAAGGGAGTTTTTGAATGACCGAAGAAGCTCCACGTGGAGAGAATTGAGAGCAATCGCGTTGGTGCTTGAATCATTAGCACACAAACTAGAAGGAGGTATCTGCATTCACTGAAGCGATAACCAGGCAGCTGTGCACATTATCCAGGTGGGCAGCAGAAGGGAGCATTTGCAAAGGGAGGCCATGTGAATCCTCCAGGTGTGCATGAAGCACGGAATCCGCCTGATTGCCGAATGGGTTCCCAGAGAACAAAATGAACTGGCGGACTACTATTCGAAAATAGTTGACACAGATGATTGGTGGCTAAACCCGGCTGTTTTTGAACAAATCGAGCGTTTGTGGGGTCCCCATACGCTAGATTGCTTTGCGAGTCTGAGGACGAAACAGTTAAAGCGTTTCTGTTCAAGGTGGTGGAATCCGGGATGTTATGCGATCGATGCCTTTACGGTTAATTGGTCAATGGAAACGGTGTGGCTTACACCTCCGTTCCACCTAATACCCAGGGTTTTGAGTATGTTAAAAATGTGCTGCGGCCATGGCACACTGGTCGTGCCTAAGTGGGTGTCAGTGGATTGGTGGCCAAAATTACATGAGAGGCAAAGCTGGAAACCATTTGTAGTAGTAGTAGTAGTAGTAGTAGTATTTATTATTTTACTAGGGCAATCCCCACAGACTGTGAGTCTTTTTACAGGGTACCCTAGGCAATTTGTAAAAGGAGTTTTGGTGCTACCCCATGATGAAAACACATTTCTGGAAGGTACCTGCCCTTACAACTTGCTGGGGGGGGGGCAAGCAATATTATACAGAAATGCTGGCTTTAAGAGTGTGCATGAAGAATAACTGTTGCTGATTTGCGTACTGACACGATTGCTGTGGTTTTGTGGCGCGAGCATATGTGAGTGCACGGTGCAAGAGGCATTGTCCTATGTTGGTGTTCAGGGAACACCATTGCCTACAGGGCAGGAGGCAGATGCTGCTGACAATGTCATAATCCGCAGGGCGGACGGATGCTGCTGCTGGTGATGCCGATGACGATGTTGTAGCCCTCATGGCTCGGCAGACGCTGCTGCTGATGCCGTTGTATAATGCTCTTCAAGTGATGCTGATAGCTGCTGCAGATGCTGAAGCCGACGCTAATGCTGATGACTCTGTTGACAGGCGCCTCACGTAATGATCTTGTGTTCATGCCTAGAGCTGAGGGCGGTTCAAGTGGAGCCAACCCAGGAGCTCGTGAACCTATCCAGGAAGATTCCAGAAGTCATGTTGGCGAGTAGGGCACCGGGAACAGTGACCAAGTATTTGTCGACATTTCAGCCCTGGCAAGAGTGGGCTAGCAGTCAAGAGATCCCGAGCGTACCAGCCGAGTCTTGGCACATATGTTTGTATGTCGTGAAGCTGGTCCAGGAGGCACGGACAGCGTCACCAATAACATCCGCTATTTGCGCGTTGGCCTGGTCGCACAAGGTGCGAGGCCTACCGGACCCCACAGACAACGCACAGGTTCGGAACCTAGTCCAGGCCTCCAAACGACTGCTGGCGGCGCCGAAGAACCGCAAGAAGCCGATGACGAAGCAGATGCTAAACCTTTTTTCGATATTTTGGCTATGTCTGCCACCTTCTGCTGCTTACTGCGGCAATGTCGCTCCGAAGCATTTCAAAAGGCGTTTTGCCTTTTTTGCATCACGTTGGCATCATTACAAGGTGATAAACTCAGGCTTCACAAAACACCTTTCCAGTAGAGATTGTCAGAAACTCTTGAGGAAACTCCGTAACTCTAGCGGCAGGGCTGATAAGCACCACCATCGTAGATTATCCTTGACTCACTCTTGTCCTAGTTTGCGTTGACTTTCAGATCCGCTCAAATGATCTTCAGCGCGATATTCCCGCTCCTTTCGATTTTTGAATTTTTTCTGGTTCAATTTCAGCCCACTGTTCCGACTCTGCCACATTTTTAGGCATTTTGGCCCATTTCATAAGACTTGTCGCCATCCCAACTACCTCCGTCATCATCCATACCTGATCGCTCCCGCTAAATCACGTCACTAGAACTAAAGTGGAAGGAAGATATACTAAGGTGACTAATATCACTTTTTTTCACTCAAAATAGCCATAATTTTGTACGGTGATGTTAACCGTTTTACAGTGGGAGTCAAACCTAGAAGGTATTGTAATAGTACCTACTGCAGTGGTAGCTGACTAGCTTGCAAGAATACTGTACTCTGTAGCATTTTGACCAGCGCAACAACACAATCACAGTCATCATTGTTGCCAGATTTTCGCCTAGTATTGGATAAGCATACCATATTGAACCATGTTGAACCATGTTGAACCATGTTGAACCATGTTGAACCATGTTGAACCATGTTGAACCATGTTGAACCATGTTGAACCATGTTGAACCATGTTGAACCATGTTGACCTACAGGTACATACATGTTTTTCGATTTTGACAGCATGTTACAAGGCGAGGACGCGTAGTGCTCCTGACTACAACCATAACCCGGTTGGCAAAGTCCCGGTCTTACGACCATCTGAACCGTAACATGCTGTCAAAATCGAAAAACATGTTAAACTACCAAGCAAGGCTTCTGTATATAGTAGGTACATACATGTACATCAAGCATGTAGAGTGTAGGAGTGCTGGATATAGCTAGATTTTTTTGTTGATATACATTAGAAATTTATTACTCAAATTTTGAAGATCAAAAGGAAAGCTTTGCAATAATAACAACAATAAAACGTAGCCTGTAGAATGTAAAAAGTCACTGAGTACAGTTTAATTCAATATCCATGTCCAGTATTTATAATAAAAATAATCTGCTGCAATTTATAGATTCTCACATGCGAGCAACCTGGGCCTCAGCAACAACCAGCTCAGCAGACTCCGGATGCCGAACCGATCGCTCACGGAAAAGACCCCGTGAACCCCGCAAACACATGATGCATGATCGCAACAGGGCAAATGAGAGACGGCATCTGATGTAAGATATTACGTGGGAGTACTGCTCCTTCCTCCTTTCCGCTCTCAATAACGCGATTCGGCGATAGAGTGATGTCGCCGCTCTTCCCATGCCACCACTTGCCGACAGCACAACAGGCATGAACGTCGCATGCTCCACCTCTCTCACTCTCTCTCTTCATAACATCGTCGCTTTTCTTTTTCATGGCGCCGATAGACAGTGGTGTGTGGTGCAGATCGATTTGAGCGTGCATGAGGATTAAAAACCCGTATATCAAGTAAAGTACGCTCAAAACGACTGCCCCACAAGCCACTGACCGCTACATCAAGCCGCGCATGCTCCTCCACAATAGCAGACCTGCATCTCATTCTCTCTCCAGTGAGTGGCTGCAGCTGTGGCTCAATGGAGACATTGTGACAGGTCTCTTCAAGGAGAGAGGCTGTCACATCCCGGATCTCATAATGGCGGATAATGGTAAACCCACCAAGGGGACATGACAAGGCATGGTCAATACCATTGTCCCGTCCACAAGAGCAATGACCGCTTCTAGCCAGCTGCCGACTCTGGAATGGCCTGCCCGACTGTATGAAGTCCATAGTATCTGTCCGTGAATTCAAACGCATGCTACGCGTATTCTACTTCGGTTAAATGTAATGGCTTTCGTAACCTGCTGATGAGACTCGATAGAAGCATGCTACGATGACCCGACTTGTAAATTTGAGATCCATTTTTTTCTGCTCGTCTTGACCCTGCCTCCCCTCATTGCTACTTCCGTTTTCGTATTTTTATTTTCATTTATTTTCTCTTCATTTCTGACTCTTCTTACTGGTTGTCATCGCTTTCATAATATTGGGCAGAACTGCCCGTTTGCCATGCGATGTAAAATAAATAAACAACAACAACAACAACAACAACAACAACAATGAGTTGGTAACCTCGGCGGCATCCAACCATAACGGAGGCACAAGCCGTCCATGAACTCAGCTTTGCTCAGTGAAAACCATACTTTTTCAATGGACGGCAAGTCAGCCAACTCGAGGCGCCAGGTTCACGGGCGAGGACAATGGTGTGTCGCAAGGCGTCCGACGCATCATTGCTAATAGATGGGAACAGATGGAGACCATGATTCATAATGTTGCTGGAGACACCACGCCTCACAGGGCTGCGGACTACACCACCAGTTTTGGCTAGTCTGTTAGTTCAGTAGTCGGCATCAAAAGCACCCATAATGCCAGTTTGCTGCAATTATGCCACTTTTATGCTCGGCAGTGCTAGTTTACTAAAACCAGCATATAATTCTACTGATAATGGTAGCATTAGCCGCCGATGCGTAGCAGTGAAACCTGTCGAACACGACCGCATAAGGGAACTTCAAAATGTGGTCTCTGTCACCAGGTGGTCGCCTTGTCCAGGGTCAATTGACTGGAAATAGCACCCATTGGTCCTGGTTGCAGTGCTCTTCTAGAACAGGTGGTCGCCTTGACAGGTTTTACTGCATTCCATTCTCATTAGACCTACGCATGCAGCCCACGCATCTCGTTAAGAAAGTAGCTATCGAGGGTAATATTGGTAAGCATGACTCTCTCATATTGATCTAGCATTACTGATTTTTCTCTACCCTCAGTTCTTTGTCTGAGTTATACTCTTTCCAATTTGGTACAACTATTCTGCTGTCTAGGAGCCTGGAAAGCACCTTTCCTTAGCATCCTTCAAAGCAACATCAACTTCAGGGCTGTGCCAGAACCTATTGCAGACTGGCAGAATGTGGCTTCAGAGTAGTTGAGTTGATTCATATCAAGTTTGAGCAGCATTGTCGAAAATATGACCATAATAATATATGTTTGCATTGTACTGAATGAAATGACAATGCAATGTACATGTAGTAAAGGTTGGCACATGATTCTGCACAACACAGCCAGCGAGAAAGTGAAAAGCGAGCATTCAAATTAGCATTATATGCTGATATATCAAGCAGCGCTCAAAGCATTATTAGTAATAATAATCAAGCATTAGGCGAAGATGCCCAAATAAGTGAGCCAGCAGATAGCTGAAATAGGGCATGACGCAAAACCACTTGGGGCCGTCAGGTTAATTTTCCTGGACCGAGCCAGCCGGGAAAAAACCCTCGCGCCGACGGACGCAGTAGAGAGGGAAAAAACCGGGTGTATATCCCCAATGGCGATTAGGCATGAAGTAGGCATGGCAAATGGTGAGCACACTGCGTAATGTGGAAATACACAACAGTTCTCTTAGTCTAAATCATCAGCTCCGCTTCCAGGAGTAGATCTTCGCTGTTGACTGTTTCGTCAAGGTCTGGCTTATTCAAGTCGACGTAGGTTACGTCACCAACAAATTCTCTCATCGCTTTCTCAAATGCATCGTCATCAAGCAGGTCGATGTCATCGAGCCTAGAACAGTCAAAAGAATAAGAAGTTATCTACAGCCGGTAAGACAATACGAAGGGACATTCATATACTGCTAGGGAATGTCTTGGATGTGATATACTCAAACCACAATGTTGTAACTGCAGTAGTAATAACTGCATCACTCATGTTTATAATTAAATCCCAAAAATGACGGAATATTGAAAGAAAAATTACGTCTAGCATGGGACTCGGGTAGACTGAAATTTTCACACCCATAGGAACTCAATCACCCTGGAGGATCAAAGTGCAGATGCAGCTTCTAAAGCGGTCGGAGATGAGTAGTTCAGAACTTCCATACAGTTGCCTATAAAATACGGAAAATTCAATCCACTGCATCCATGCAAATTCGATTCGCGCCATGAATCAAAAAATGTGCAGTGTGAAAACTCGCACACATTAACGCACGACATGTAAGGCACAGTGTGATGAGAACTAGCCCGTAACAAGCACTTACCAATCAAATTCAGACTTGGCATCGGACTTCATAGTAGTAGTATCAGCAGTGGAAGTAACTTCACTTCCTTCACTTTGGGACACCTTCGTAGTGGCTGGGCTTTCCTTCTTAGCTGAATAGTACAGATGAAGAAGCAAGCATTTATTATTAATTAATATATTTACAACGGATCAATCCAGATTATAGCATCCCATTAGCCATAGAATGCTGGAACATACATATCATACACGCAAGATCACCTACTACCAACCCCTACGTCAGGAATAATGCTAACTATTTGCAAAGCCCTTAAACTGTATTGTAGCACACTGCAGCGGTGTTGAAGCAAATGGTCTTTCCACACGACAAGGAAGCAGAACTCACTATCCACATGTAACGAGAGGTTTAGCAGATATCCCAAAGACCATACAGTAAATGCCCAGCCAGGCCAGACAAATAAACAACAAGAGAAAGGTATCGCTTAAGAAAAGGCACAGGAAAGGACAACAGATCGAAAGTAATGTCTTCAAAAACATTTATAATACCAGCATCAGCAATGCAACTTACCGGAAGAATGACTGCTGAGTCTTGTTATCTTAGCAGGTGGTGTCGCTGGAGTGGAACTCTTGGTAGGTGCAGTACTCAGTACTGGACTGCATACATTCTTGCTTGCTGAACTGGAAACTACTGATGGTGATTCCTTGCTGGTTGAATCGGCCGGTCTTCTTTGACAGGTGTCTTCTGCAGATACAGTGCTGTCACTAATGGTCGCGTGATGCTTGCGTTTCTCAGCAAGGATTTCATCTAAAGACTTGATGCGAAGACCAGCAGCGGTGGACGGTTGTGGAGACACTGGAACAGCAACAGGCTATGGAGCAGTCAGAAGAATGGAGACAGAAAGAGAGAGAGAAAGAGATAGAGAGAGAGAAAAAGAGAAACTTAAAACATCTGAGAGGCCTTGCATCGGCTGATTATTTAAGACCGTGCAACATGTAAACCAGCTGCAGGACATAATTATTACGAAGTACTTTAAAGCAGTGAATAAAGTTGTAATAGCTATGAAAAGTATGAATGCCGCAGACATCACCAGGCAACATGACATTTTGTTCAAGATTTGGTTTTGTGTGTTTCCAAAATCGATTTTCACGCTCCGCTCCACCTTGAACAAATTGTCATGTTGCCTGGTGATGTCTGCGGCATTCATACTTTCCATAGCTATTATTAAACCTTTATCTCCACGTAGATTATTAATAAAGTTGTAAGTTATTTATACACATAACTGGCGCAAAGAGCGGATGGCACCTTTGCGGAACAGCTCGACAACAAAAAAATGAAGAAAGCAAGCCATGCACAAATAGTGGTGCACATTTAAGCTTCACGTTCAAATTCGGTGCAAATTTTGGTCTTCTAATGTTGTGCACTGCAGTTGTCAGTAGCATTGGTGGTACTGCAATACTTACAGAGCTACAAACCACCGGCGAGAAGAAAAACAACTTGACATCATTTTGAGGTCCAATAAGCCCCCAAATCAGCCACACATCGAGATAAAGAGATGCACACACGTTTACCCAGGAACTCAAGAACGCAAAATAAAATATTGCAAAGTAACCGCCAGTGAGGTTGAAGTTCTGCAACTAAAGGATAACGGGTGAAACGGTGGGGATCCTCAAAGGACACCGCCAAAGTCGTCAACAAATAGAATGGCATATGAATCTGTCAACTGTCAGCACCAGGACAGCACCAGGACATACATATCCTTGCATGTGTCCTTCAGAAAGAAAGGATTAGAAAGTTGTGCTCTAGATTCACGTCTGCAAAAATGAAAAATTTCCTTTTCGTAAATGAAAGCAATGCCACTAAAACTTTTAAGAAGCAAGCATATTGGTGCATGCATGCGCTGACAGTTACAGACAGCCAGACAGACACAGACAGACACACATGACACACAGTTACACTCTGTCACACACACATACACACACACATACAAACACACGCACACACACACATACACACACAATCACACACACACACATATACACACACACACACACACGCACACACACGAACGCACACACAACTCATTGATTGATATACCAATGGATGTACATGGATACAGTACCTCAGGCCTGCGTCGTTTGGCTAACGGCTTTGTTTGGACTTCTTGCTGAACAGATGCTGTCCTTTTCTTGGGTAACAAAGGACCTGGACCACGCCTTGCAGTTTCAGATCTATGCTGTTGATTTAGCTGATCGCGAGCATGAACCCAATGGTATCGGCTCATTGCTCGAGTTGCTCTTCTCATATCCATTCTGGAGTCAGCGGCAGTTGAGTCGGTGGCAACCCCTTGTGTTCGGGCGTGTCGCAGTCTTTTTTGAGATTTGCCAATAGTCCGGATGGTGGGGCTGCGCTGTGCACTGCTATCATCAGGTATGGTTATCAGCAACTTGAAATCAGGTGAAAGCACCTGCGCTGGTCCACCTGAAGAGTAGATAGGACAGTAAGGGTTAGCATCAATTATGCCTTTGATGGATTGTCTTGATGCTTGGCAAGCAGTGTGGATACGCCACATCCAGCAACATTGCGCTCACCACGAGCAAGAGTACGCAAGTAACCGGTAATACGCAACTCCCGCAGCCCTTTCCGTACCAAGGACGTGTAACATGTTTGTTTGATTATCCTAATTTTTCAGGTGAAATGGGCCTTCTTGCTTCATACAACTTAAAGCAGTGTTGCAGCCATTTTGAGGTGCAGATTTCTATAGACTCAAAAAAAGCACCTCATACACACGCTATCATTGGTAAAAGGGCTAGGTACAGTCTTACAGCAAACAGCAAATTCTTACCTTCGACTGGATTTCCTTGGGGTGCGGTCGTAGTGGGTTGAACTTGGCCAGTTTGCAGAGGCGCATCAGGACGGGGCTTCAAATGCTTGAATGGGCAGAACGGCTTGGTACACCCCACTCGCTGAGACTCCCAGTAGCATGGCATGCTGCCACGGTCTTTCTGCAACACAGTCACCAAGACCACATCGAAAACAAAGAAACTCAGCATGCATCACCGTGCACTAGGCTTTCCTCAAATTAGCGCGTTTTTACAGCCTGGTCAGCTTTTCTCTCAGCTCGAAAATACATCACATTCGGCTGAAAAATCAGCTGATTGTTTGAATATTGAACGTCGTGTGAAACAACTTGTTTTGTAGTCAACTAGTCCATCACAATGCCATACAGGAGGAGAACTGTAGGAGTTTGGCTTTCGACTTGTACAATTCGTTTTCGCAAAGCTTCCCGTTTCTTTACGTATCTTCGATATTTATGACCCACCCAAGTTGGGTGGTGTGCTGCTTTGCTGCTTCGAATTGTAGTTAGACCTCTTTGTCAAATATCGTACTGGTCTCGTCATCGTCCAGTAACAATTGACATTCTTTGTTCCGTTGGGACTGTGGCTTTTGCTCGTTTTCGTTGCGCTTGCCTTCCCCTCTTTGGTCTTTTCATAACCTTGAACCTTCCAAGTTGGAAGGCTGTCGGTTAGCGCTACTGAAATGTGTTGAAGCTAGGTGTCAGGACGTCGAATGTCTCAGTACTCTTGTCAGTTTTGTGCCTAGATATTGCACTTTCTGACTGTATTATAGTATCCAGTTACAGTGATGAAGAGTTACTCTTAACTCGTATCCATAATGTCCTTTTCCTTTCTATTTTTATTTATCGCTCAACACCCGAGTTTCAAATAATAATAATAATAATAATAATTCAAAGGATCAGTTGGGGAAGTTAACTGCCTGAAAAGAGAAACAAATCGCGAGACCCACCAGGACTCCAACCCGGGACCTTGTTTGTCATTAGCCATGCTCTAACCACTGAGCTATGGGACCGGGCAGAACCTAGAAAGCCCTGGCAAGTTTTTCACTCCAAAGGCAGCTCACACCACGTGCCACACATACTGATCGCACTTGGATCTTTCTCCCTCTCCATGGCCCAGGGGACCAACCACGGTCAGTTTCTGGACCCTACCAGAAAAAAAGGCAAGAGAGTGTGCAGGCAAAGCAACCACACACGCTTGCTTTACTTACATGTATTCCCATGTGGCGACGTGCACAATTCGGAACAATACAGCTTCCTTTGGCCCAATCTTGACAGACGTCTTCCTTGCCAAGTGCAGGGGCACTGTGCCGGAATGGACAAGCGGGTCCCTTCTTGCAGCTCGAGTAGTAGAAGAAGTAGCAATCATTACCGACTTGAGCCATCTGTTGTTCAAACATTATTTGTTGAAAAGAAACACAACAAATTCAACGCCAACATTATAAAAAAGGGGCGCAAGATGGAACGGTCGATATAAGTTTTGTAGCCTCATGACTCCGGTTTGGGCAAAGATATTCCTTTCAGCGGTACCTGTATCCAGTCATGTTATTTGTTCGTTATATTATTTCCAATTTTATGGCTCACCACGACCATGCAAAATTCAATAAGTATCGACCTCCATTTTGAAAATATGGCGAAGCCCCCGAAACAGGAGTTTGTGCAGTCATAGCGGCTACGCACCCTAGTTCATGCTGATCGATGTACACGATGTACAGCTGAGTCCTAAATTACTGGTATTGTACGACTCCCTGGTCAGGTCTGCACAGCGAAAGGCTAGAGCCAACGCAAATCTTATTGTTTGATGCCGGCAAAGACACGCGGAGAAGACGTCCTTTCTGCAAGCCACCTTGGTCATTTTTCTCAACCCGCTGGTGCATGTCGACCAAGATATGTCCTTGAGGTACTGGTGAACTGGGTTCCTGGCATCAACAAGAATTCACCGCGCCTAGCTAACCAATGTTGTCGGTAGAACTCAGCGTTTCCTGATCACGGCTCGACACACTCTTTTCTGTTTGGCCTCGCAGCTTTCACCCTGCGAGTGTGCAGTTTCCTGGCCACAACTGAATTCCTTAGTCATGACCATGATGACAAGTGACTGGTATGATCTCTGATGGACCTAAGTCATTAGCTTGAGTCAACACGAAGGTAAACTGTTCACTTGGAACGCTAGCTGCTTTCTCAGTCCTTTCTTGTTGCACTAGCAGATATGCGTACGAGAGGACCCAAGCAGACAGTACTAGATATTGGGACAAGGGATAGGTGGTCTCCGGTCCGTGATGGACAATGAGAGCTCTGATACAGAGGGGCAAAGAGAGAGAAAGAGAGTAAAAGTGAGAGAGAGAGACAGAGAGACAGAGAGACAGAGACATAGCGACATAAGCAGAGACACAGAGAGTGACAGGGAGACCGAGAGCGAGACAGAGAGAGGGAGATACAAAGGGGGAGAGAGAGAGAGAGAGGGAAAAAAGAAAGAGATAACAAGAGAGAGAGAGAGTTAGAAAGAGCTAGAGAGAGAAAGAAAGAGAAAGAGTCAGAAAGAAAGGCGGAGAGGGAAATAGAGAGAGAGAGAGAATCGGAAGGAAGGGGGAGAGAGAGTATCGAAAAAGAGGAGAGAGAGAATGAGGGAGAGAGAGAGCGTGAGAGAGCGAGAGATAGAGAGAGAGAGAGAGAGTAGCAGAGAGAGAGAAAGACAGAGCGAGAGAAAGGGGGGGGGGGAGAAAGAGAGAGAGAGAGGATTAGAGAGAGAGAAACTCATAGGGAGAATAATAGTGAGAGAGGGAGTGTATAATAAAGAGTGAAAGGCTAAGGGGAACCGAGAGAAAGACAGAGCGGAAGGCAGAGAGAGAGAGAAAGAGGACAAGGGGTACAGATAGAGATATAGGACAAACAGCTTGAAAGAAGGAAGACAGACACACAGATACTTACAGTAAATTTCACAATTCGCGGCCGACTTCACACCGAGAATCGAATAATCCCAACTCTTCTGCAAGGACGATACTTAGCAAGGCGCTAGAGGGATCTACACAGAGAGAACCTGATTCTGATATCTTTTGGAAGACGCAAATTACTCAGGCAAGCAAATAATCAATCTCTGATGGGAAGCAAGGTGTTTGAGGGACGACGCTAGAAAAACAACCGGTGACAGACACTGATCCTGGAGAACTAGTTGGAGACTGTAGCAAAGCTAGGGTTTATATACATGTACCTACGCTACGTGACGTCACATTGCGGCTGGTGGTTGGCAGTACAGTCGTTGGCGTGTGGTATAACTGTAAGGGCGCTCCGCTATGACACTAGACTGGGGCTTCAATGTGAAGGACCCCACGATAGGTGGTCTGCCTTTGGGTCATCCTAGTTACGTGTAGAAGAGGTCGTAGGCGTATAATACTAAAAAAAAAGAGGAACATGTAAGCATTAGGTCTGCACTCAGATGTACAGCCAAGGTTAATTTAAAAATCAATAAAAAGGACCAAGGAACTACAAGTGCCTCAGTTGACTGGATGTGTGTATTTGCGTGGGTACTTTCGACCTAAAACTTACCTTTGTTAATTTTATTATTGTTATTATTATTATATCCCCTTGAGCGCGGATTACTTGTACTTGTACAAGTACTTGTGGATCATTCGTTGTAATGCGTGGTGCTCTGTGCCGTGTATAAGATAGCTCTATTTGAATCATTATTGAGCACTCTGATAATTTACAGAGCCGGTGCACTCTAATGATTAATTGATGTGGAAAGCCAACGTGATTTTTTGGCTTGCGCGGCTTGAGGAAGCCCTATAGGTAATCAGGGGTTATAGTTGTGTGGAAAAGCGTCGATTACATGTAGATGGGGGCGTCGCACGTGCTCCAAAATGCCAGCTTGAACAATCAGCAGTCAGCATTTCGTCTCATTTTTGCTCGAAGTAGGGGGTGTTTGAAGGCGTTATAGCAGCACTTCAGTAAGGTTCTACGAGGCTGGGACTTGGCCCAGGCACAGATGACAGGTGTTCCAAAAGATTTACCGAAACAAATTTTCATTACTCACACGGGTATGCCAGAGCATATGCGTAAACTTCGACATGTAGCTAAGCCATGCACCAATACAAGCTACAGTACTGGCAACTGAAATCCGACCACCTAGCGTCTCGTACGAATCGCTAACGCGGCTAGCATACCGATAGGGGGGTCGTATATCAGTTGTGTAGTACGGCGATGTTCCACTACAGCCAGAGTCCTCAACGCAATGAAGTGGTTGCAAAAGTGGGAGTGAGTGCATGTGCTAAAATAGACATAACCGCTACCGTAGTTCCGCGCATATAAGCCAGTTTGGGGATAAAATATCCAGTAAAACAAGTTCGTTTTTTAGCCCATGGGCCAATATTCGAATTTTGAAGGTTAACGAAAAAGTACAAGTCCATGCTCATAGTGGGTCTACCATACTCTACTGGTAAACTGCACTGACCTGCTGTACCTTGGTAGGAAGAGTCCACATTGTGAAAAAATCTTGTTGACACGCGAGTTGCATTTGTGTCTGTTTATAAGCCCATGGGCTTATAAACGGAGGTGGGCTTATATCCGGATATGCCCGTGGGTTTATACGCACGGAATTACGGTAAGCCTGAGACGTAAAATAGCCGCTATGTCGTAATGTGTACAAAATACATGTACCGCATGGGTTCTCTGTCATGAATATTACCCGCGCCCTCCACTCAGCTGAACTCTGGATCCGCCGCTGTCACCGGTGGCCTGGCCTTGTCCTGTGACCATGGTGGGCAGTGCAAGTCTGTAGTGTAGGCTGTAGTGTAGGCTGTAGTGTAGGCTGTAGTGTAGGCTGTACGGCTTTGCTTGCGAAACCAATGCGCTCTGCAGAGAGTGTTTGGTCAGCACTAATCGCGAGGAGCTGCTCACAGTCATCTGGATGACAGTGCTATGCTGTCGTCATTGTCCGCTCCAGTCCACGTAGTGCATTACCATGATTACTAATCGGTAGGAGCTGCTCAGTGCTCACATCTGGATGACAGTTCTATGCTGTCGTCATTGTCCGCTCCAGTCCACGTAAAGCAGTACTTTGCACCGCACTGCAATTTGCTGAGCTGCTGACTGCTGTATGTGGGACTCCGTTTATTCAGGTGCCTTGAAACTTATTCTCTTTGTCCTATTATTATTTTCTTTTCTATCATTTCCCCATTATGAGTTCCTAGCAGTGGAACCTCTCGTGCACTAGGCATAGACTTCACCACTTGGCTAAGAGTAAGAGACCTGAAGACTGATTGTGCGAGCCATTAGTTTGAATACACACACACATTAGCAATCCGTGCACATGCTACGAGATTGCCAGTGTATCGATCTTGCAAAAGGAGGCGCTCCTTGGCACAGTTGACATCATCAGGTCAATAACTCAGATGAAATAATAATTACACTCTAATAAGTTACATTGGTTTGCGAATGCCCATGGTTATGGTTGCTGCTATTAGTTGAAGCACCTATTTGCAGAAAATAATAATATTATGCTCGTAATATTAATCACTTGCCAATAACAAAAACAACAATAATACCATCAGCCCCCATTCACCGGTTTTGACGGTGCTTCACTGATGTTGAATGAGAAGAATTATAGTGCTGCCTTCAGTGCTATTGTGTCGCTGAAGGGCTCGATTTCAGATTTGATGACGGTTGCTTTTCAACGGATTTTGTTTTCTGATTTAGCTCTCTTGCTATTACTGTACCTGCCTGTGTTAAGTCTCATTCTCGCAGATTAGTTGTACAATAGATTGTACATGCATCATTGTAGATTTGCTGTTCACAGTATTTCTCTCTTTTTTCTTTCGTTTTTCTCAGTCTTCCTTATTACATTTTCTTCACATGCAACAGCAGTAATCCCCATGGTCTTAAATGACCCGGGATGCTACATAATAAAAACACAAAACCAATAAAGCCACCCCCATAATAATAATACAGTAATAATAATAATATAAGCACATCCGTGAGGCACTACTGGGTGGGTCTTATGACGTACTAGTACAAGTCATCCGCGCTCAAGTCAAGGGGTTAAAAATAATAGTAACAACAATAATAATAAAAATTCTAAGCACTCGCAGACTCCATTGCAGCCACTCACACATTACAGGGTACCTCACTTCAGACTCTCCAACTACGGTCTCTTCGCTGCATAAGTTCACTTCACTTCCAAAATAAATAAATAATACTAGATATATTTAATGGAATGCACCAAATTTTCGGGCATGGCCCATCTTCACGGTGAAAAACCATTCAACTTAAAAGCCAACAAAAACTGAACCGAGTATATATGCTGTGTGGTGCGGTAGTGCTGGAAATGTTTGTATGTGTGGAGGGTAGCAGCAATGGTGAAGTGTGTTGGTAGAAAGGGAAGGAGCGAAGGAGACCAGTGAAGAGCTGTGTCTGTAAGTGTGAATATGTATTAGTGCGGCGTGAAGGGAAAGCACGAGAAGTGTGGTTACCAGCAGCAATGGTGAAGTGTGTTGTTGTGTGTCTTGAGCAGCAGACACCCAGACATACGCTTCACAGTGGAACACACCCAGGAGAATTCCTCGCACACATTCAGCTACCTCGACTTGTCTATCTCTGTGGCGAGTGGTGTTGTGCAATGGGAGTTGTTCGGGTGGTAGCTAACCACGGCGAACTGAATAATAAGGAGAGAAACAAAGAGAGAATTCATGCAGCGAAAAAATCGTAGTTGGAGAGTCTGAAGTGAGGTACCCTGTTATTAATAATAAAAATAACGTTTGAGGTAGGTTTGAGGTCGCAAGTACCCACGCAAACACACACATCCAGTCAAATGAGGCACTTGTAGTTCCTTCGTCCTTTTTACTTATTATATTATCGTTGGCTGTCCATCTGAGTGTAGACCTAACAATTACATGTCCTTCGATTTTAAAGTGATACGCCGGTGACCTCTTCTACACGTAACAACTAGGATGACCCAAAGGCAGACCGCCTATCGTGGGGTCCTTCACATTGAAGCCCAAGTCTAGTGTCATCGCGGAGTGCCCTATACCACACGCTGACGAATCAGCAGGCAATCACCAGCCGCAATGCGACGTCACGTAGCGTAGGTACATGTATAAAAACCCTAGGTTTGCTTCAGTCTCCAGCCAGTTCTGCACGATAAGTTTCTGTCACCGGTTGGTTTTCTAGCATCTTCCTTCAAACACCTTGCTTCCCACCAGAGATTGATTATTTGCGTGCCTGACTGAGTCGCCGTCTCCCAACAGATATCAGAATCAGGTTCTCTCTGTGTAGATCCTTCTAGCGCCTCGCTAAGTATCGTCGTTGCAGAAGAGTTGGGATTATACGATTCTCGGTCTGAAGTCGGACGGGAATTGTGAATTTTACTGTAAGTATCTGTTTGTCTATCTTCCTTCTTTCAAGGTGTTTGTCCTATATCTTTATCTTTCCCCATTGTCCTCTTTCTCCCTCTCTGTCTTCCGCTCTGTGTTTCTCTCTGTTCCCCTCATCCTTTCACTCTTCTATTTTATTTTAATTTTTAATTTTATTTAATAATTTAGCCAGCGCAAGCGAAAAGGGACGTTATCCCGCGGCACTTGATTTTGAGAAAATCGCACTTGAAGTAAATCAGCTGATTTCCGGCTGTCACGTTCGGATGACTTGCAACTGTGCGTTTTTCGGTGATACGTGATTTCTTTGGAGCTAATTCACTCTGTGGATAGCAGAGCCAGCATCCCACAGCTCCTGTAGAAGAAAACACTGTCTTAATCGACCCACGTACCACGCATTGGCGATCAAATATCGATCGATGGACCGCGTGACCTCCGCTGCACGCGCAGCATGCCCGAGCGTAAAAGACAAGGGAGCTTGCTTTCAGCGCAGCTGCCTTGCTCCCTTCGCTTTTCCCTGAGTCCTTGGGTTGGCGTGACTACTCACCATGAGCTACCGTAAACGTTTCACCGTCAACGAAGTGCCCATAACTTTGCTATCCGTGGATGGATTTCTAATTGGTTTTTTCCATGTGATTTGTACATCTTCTGGCTACTAGAATCTGTTGATAACTCAAAAAATGCCCAAAGTTCGGGATAATGTCCCTTTTCGCTTGTTCTGGCATTATATTTATACACTTCCTCTCTCACTGTTGTATTATTC